GAGCACAATATTCAAATGGAATGGGGAACCAGGAAAGAGGAGGGGAAAGGAAAGAAAGGACAAGAGACAAAAGAGAATAAAAGTAAAAAATGGAAACAAAGCTTTTATAAATAAGGGGAAAAGAGGGACTGAAGAGACAGAAGGGGAACGGGGAAAAAAAGAAGCCGGATACATCACATACAAGAATAAATTCCCTATGGTGATTGTTATCATTAAATATCTAAAATTTTCCCATAAAGTTTTGAAATGTTTTAAAAACCCACACTTCTACTGCCAACATTATTGTGACAAAGGATCTAAAAACACATACTGGAAATTTTAATAAATTGTGTGGCAAAACATACTTTCAAGAAAAATTACAATACTAACAAAAATCAACTTAAGCAAAATAAAGATTTACATGTAAGAGCTGAAACTTCAGGCCTGCTATAAGCAAACACAAGGAAAATGCTTCTGCATGTTGGAATGTGCCGAAAGTTTTAGGAGAAGACTCAAAGAGCAAGAAACAAAAGCAAAAATAGACAAACGGGATTACATTGATTTAAAACCTTCACACAGCAAAGGAAACAGCGCACTAAGGATAAAACCTGTGAAATAGAAGAATATATTTGAAAATTATACTCTCTAGTATTATACTCTCTTGTATATTCTCCTATACAAGGATTGATATCCAGAATTCATGAGGAACTCCAAAATTGCAATAAAAAAAGTAAAACACAAAATAACCTGTATTTAAAAGGAGCGGTAGAGCAAGGTGTGAGAGAGAATCTAACAGTCCCAGCACTGGGCCGGAAGACTGCGGTGGGAAGACCGGAAGTTCTAGTCTACCCTTGGTGACTCAGCAAGTTGGCAAGACTCTGACTCAATACACAGAAGTAACAGAAGGGAAGGGATGGAGCTCAGAGTAAAGGCTGTACAACAAAGGAGGTGAAGGCCTAAACAGATACATCTCAAGAGGAGACTTACAAATACCCCTGGGTTATATGAAAAGAAGTGCACCTTCACCAATCAAAAAGGTTCTCATGGATTTATGATCACTCGTCTCTTTTCTCTTTTTTAGACAATCCTCAGTGAGTGTCTTATGGAAGAACAAATGTGCTTGTATCTGTGTCACCCAATCGTGTACTCTGGGGATGGGAAAGCACCCTAGTGCTGAAAAAATAACCAGAAGCTAATATGTTAACTCTTATGTCTTGGTTTATGGTATCAATTAAATGTCATGTGATGCATAACTTTTTCCAGGAAATAAATCAGTTATCTTTTGTTCACTTTCAAAAAACAATGTAATGCAGAACCATAATTACATAGCGTCTTAAAAGCATACAAATCCCTTCATCAAAATGAGTAAAGATAACCAGTGTAGGCAGAGATGCAGAGAGAAGGGAACACTTGCATACTGGAAAGAATTTAAATTACTACAGTATGGAGGCTCCTCAAACAATTAAAAATAGTCTACCAGGAAATCTAAAAAACACCCTGCTGAATGTAAATTCAAAAGAAATGAAGTCAGTATGTCCAAAAGACATTTACACCCCCATGTCAATCTCTGGGCTCTTCTCGACAGCTAATAACTGAGTTTGTTAACTGAAGAATAGATAAAAGAAACTGGGGCACATGTATAATATACACATATGTGTCTATAGGCATAGAAACATCTTGGGGTAAATAAGTGCATAAAATATAGAATGTCATATCACTTTCTTTTGTCACTAAAATAAATTTAATTTTAATACACAACAGACAGCTTGATCCCAGTAGGCAGTTTAATTGTTTCTTTCCGAGGAAAGCAGAATAAGGAGAAGTGGTCACACAGGGAAACCTCCTCGGGCCCGGAGAATTCTCACCAGATCACCAGGGATTATCAGCCGGTGTAAATCCGATGACTCACCACAGCGTTCAGGAAGAATGAGTTGTCTGCCATCCCTGTGAGCACTGCTGATTCACGGACCGACAATCATACAAACAACTGCTCTTCCAGCCTGAGGATTTGCTATGAGCCTGTGACTATGGACAGAGAAAATACTCAAAGAAAACTTCCATGGACCTTTAAATGCTAGCTCCTTCACATCTGGTTTGTCAGACAGGAGCTGTGAAGTATGTTAGAGAAATGATCTATTTCCATAGAGAGAGGAGGTAAGTGATTTTTGAGAAGCACAGGAATAGCTCACGGTGTTGGGAACCTGGTCCAGACTAATGTTCTTCCCTCTATCCCTTGCAGCTGGACAGGAGCTGGGACGATCTGACCACTGCTTGTGCACAAACTCCTCTACCAGAATTCATGCAATGTGCTGGGTCTATGACTTCCAATTCCCTATTGTAGGGATTTTTTTTTCTTCTAGTGAAAGGGTAAAGTTTCCATATTCCATACTCACTCTAGTGAGAAGTATAATTTATATACAAAAGTTGGCTACCTACCCTATTATGAGTAATTGGAGAACAGAACGTGATATTTTTCACAGAATTTTTGAAAAGTAGGGGGAATCTGGTGGTTAAATGTCAGAATATTATCATAGGTTAATTAAGTATTATCATGGGTAATTTACAGAATCCATACAAAAATCATGCTTCTTTTTTAAAAATAAGAGGACAAAAAGGTTACAGTTTGACTAATTAATGACTTTTATTTCATTCAATATATATTTACAACTCACTGGAGGTTTAAAAAACACCCACAAAAACCCAGAATAGTCATGACTCTTCTTTGTAGTACACAGGGATTCTACATGAAATAAGAGGGTTCACCATGTATTCAATTCTTCTGCCACCAGCCCATGTTAATTTTTGAACGGTGCCTTTACCTCTTATATCTAGAGTGTTTCTCACATTAGGTGCATAATGTTAGGCCATCACACCATTTCTCAAACACTGCTTCTTTGTGGATAATGTGGAAAAAATAGTATTAACTACCCTACACACACCTACATATAATATTTATGTATAAATCCACTATGCTTTACTATATGACATAGTATATGCAAAAATTGATCATTTATCCTATGGATAGTATCTCATAGGGCAACCTCAGAAAATGAGGTTGTCAAAAGCTTGTGGATAGTGTTGAGTAGATACCCTTCCCAAGGCTTCAATTCTAAAAAGAAACTTTAAATACTGTATTTGCAGATGGAAATAAAATGCTATATTTGCAGATGGAAATAAAATGTTCATTGCAGTTGGCCTAGGACCACCCATCCCTAGGCGGTAAATTTCACGTCTTAAATCTGTTTTCCAAGAACCCAAGCTCTATGTGTGCTACTTCTGATGCTATGCCTTCATGCAGAATTGCTTCTATGTTTCTTCAGAGACCAGGAGAGATGCATTTTTCATGAGAATTTCTCAATAAACATTTGTTAAATGAATGAGTAAAGTAATTGGGCTTTTTATAATTGCACCAAAATTTTAAGTCTTAAATCATTGGGCAGCATTCAATGCATTTCAAGCAATCAATGCATTTCAAGAGACATCACATTTTCTGCAGTTCTGAAATATTTTTTTCCACTTGCTCGCACCACCCCAGTTATCTCACCACAACTAACAGGCAGAGGGAGATGTAATGAGGACTCAAGACCTAAGCTCGTCATTAATCTAATCCAATATGGCAAACCTATGACACACATGCCATAGTGGGCTGCTTGTTATCATTGAAAGCTCTAAAAGCTTGCCGTTACTAACGTAATCAAAGGTTTCTATATGTTTGTATCATTGACATGGAGTTGTGCTGGAGATAATAAGCATTAGATCCATTACATTTTGTGGTCCTTATTTACATAGGAAATGGGAAGAAAATATTGAAATGAGAAGGGGAACAAGGAAAGGGAACAGGATAAAGAAGGGAGGGAAAAGAAGAAAAAGAAAATAGAAGGGAAAATGAAAACAAAGCTTGTTTTATTTTGTAAATAAAGAGGAGAGGGGTTGAAGAGAGCAGAGGGAAATAGAACAAAAGGACCAAGTTATATCATGTGCAGATACAAATTCTGTGTGATGAATATGACCATTAAGTGTATCACAAATGTACCTACAAAATAAAGAATAATTAAGCATTAGATCCAGGAGAAACAGTTGTAAAGCAATTCAAATCTTGTAACTTGTGAAAGGATTTCTTTGTCGTTGAAAGAAAGATCAGTCTTACAAATTTTTGCTTCTTTGCTTTACCCCCAATGAAAATGAATATATGCAGTGAACAAGGTGAAATTACTACCGAATAAATCACTTACTTATTCACTGTGAAACTGCAAGCAGTGATTTTTTGACCCAAAGAAGACAGGGAGTAATTATAAATTCTGTTCAATTAAATTTGGTTTAGGTCCACTTTGGAGCCTTAGACTGGGAAAGCAGTCAGCATGGTTTAAAGATTGGTATGGAGGCCTGGGTGTTTAGCTCAGTGGCATAAGTGCTAGCCTGGCAAGTGCAAGGTTGTGAGTTCGATCCCTGGTACCAAAATAAATAAAGAAATAAATTAAATAAATAAAATTAAATAAATAAAGCTTGGTATGATTTGGGGCAAAGATGGTCAGTTAGTAGTTAGCAACTGTGAGTCAGTTACTCCATTCTCGGGCAGAAGCATGGGTGTAACAGTGAATCAAGCTCTTTGTATGACTGAGCAGAAACATGGGACACACCTCAAGTGTCTGCAACAGTTCGGGCAGTGAGCAACACGGAAGCATCAGCTTCTACAGAGCTCCAAGGAGTGAGGTCCAGTGAGATTCGTCCACCAGTTGGTCTCATCCAGTTATTTCATTGTCTACAATTTAGTTACCCAGTATAGAACATTTTTAAATTGTGCGCACAATACATTAACATTCCTCAGATTTGAGAGCATGTAACCCTGTATACACTTAGCAAATGCACTCAACTTGGCTTTGATGGTAAACATTTTTCTGGGGAATCTAGAATTATAAGTTATTGTTACACTGAAAGAGTATGTTCTCCACTTTCCCATTTCAGTTTGATTTCTAATCATTTTGTTCCTTTTTTTCTGATTGCTACAAAGCACCTATTCTCATATGACAGTGATGGAGAACAGGACAGAGGTGACTGAGTTCCTCCTGCTTGGACTGACTGATGACCCGCATCTGCAAGTTCTCCTCTTTATCACCTTCCTCCTCATCTACACCGTCACTGTGGCTGGGAACCTGGGGATGATCCTGCTCATCCTCCTGGACTCCCGTCTGCACAGCCCCATGTACTTTTTCCTTGGCAACCTGTCCCTGGTGGACTTTGGATACTCTTCTGCTGTCACCCCCACAGTCATGGCTGGGCTGCTTACAGGAAACCAGATCATTTCCTACAATGACTGTGCTGCTCAGGCTTTCTTCTTTGGAGCCTTTGCCACAGTAGAAAATTACCTCCTGGCCACCATGGCCTATGACCGCTATGCAGCAGTGTGTCAGCCCTTGCATTACACCACCACCATGACCACAAGTGTGTGTGCCTGCCTGGTCACAGGATGCACTTTTGGAGGTATCCTAATTGCCTCTGTCATCACAAGAGACACATTCAGTCTCTCCTTCTGTGTGTCTAACATGGTCCATCATTTTTTCTGTGAAGTTCCAGCAGTCATGGCTCTGACTTGCTCTGATGGGCATGTTAATGAACTGGTTCTGATCTTTATGGCCAGTTTCGATATCTTCTTTGCCCTACTAGTTATCTTGGTGTCCTACTTATTCATATTTATCACAATATTAAAAATGCACTCAGCTGCAAGCTACCAGAAGGCTCTGTCCACCTGTGCCTCCCATCTCACCACAGTCTCCATCTTCTATGGCACTGCCATCTTCGTGTACCTGCAGCCCAGCTCCAGTCACTCCATGGATACAGCCAAAATCACCTCTGTGTTCTACACCATGGTCATCCCCATGCTGAACCCCATGGTCTACAGCCTGAGGAACAAGGAGGTCAAGAGTGCATTCTTGAAGGTCAAGAGTAGATTCATCTGTTGGAAAATAACTTCTCGGCCTTTGGTTTGGAGTCTGAGCAGTGCATGATTCCTAGGGCTCTTAGACCTTCACCATGTCCAGTTACATGTAATATCCACAGTGAAGTTAAATTCGTGAAATGATGCCCACTTATATATGCCAGTTTTTTGTCCGGAAAAAATGAAACATTATTTCTAGGAATAAAAGTCTGTGTGAGAATGCCTGTGATATCTTAAGAAATACTTTTCAAAACCCACAATAATTATATTGATGTTTTTACTTATTTTCTGTGCACTTTTCCTATTTCACTGGAATGCAGATGTGTACAACAGATGCTACACAAGAAATGCATTCAAGTTCATTTTGTTACTCACATAAGGATATTGTGAACAGGTTCTAGTTTCTTGTTGGAAGCTCCTTATTCTCTTTACACATATTTAAGGCTGTTGATGCGGACTCCTCAGCTTCTATGCATAGTGTGAGCATCTTCTACTTAGCTATGGTCAATCCATCTCTCTCTCTCTCTCTCTCTCTCTCTCTCTCTCTCTCTCTCTCTCTATCTCTTTCTCTCTCTAGTTAAGCACACTTTCTGTTATTCACGTATCTCATAGTTGACTTTTTTAATATTACAGTGTGAACCTTTCATCTCTCCAAGGCTGTTTTGTGATTTCTTGCTCTGGGTCTAGCTGTTTAGTAAACTGTTCAAAACAGTTTAAAAGGTTCCTTTTCCTGCTGTGAGCTTGCAGTTGCACAGATGTGCTGTGTTAAATCAACTTTTTCTTAATTGAAAAATAAATTCTTTTCATCTATATTTATAAATCTTTGACAATTTCTCAAAGTCCTGACCAAGTTTTGTTTATATTTGCAATATTTTTGTAAGGTAACAGATCCTTGAAGTACCCTGAGTACCATTTTTCCTAACTCCATCCTATAATGGAGATGTACTGTCAGGACCAAGAAAAGAAAACACTCCACTTCTTATCTTGCTATGCTTCATTTAACTGCCATTGACATTTCTGGACATAACTATCAGTGTCAGGTATTAGGTCTGATCCTGTGGGGAATGTGGCTGAGTCTCCAATGGCTTAGCTTCACACTCCAGTGATACAGGTCAGATGGATAAGGGGAGGCGCCCACTGAATGTCTTGCTCCAGGCACCAGCCGATAAGGCATCTGGAGCTGCAATTGCTCGGTCAGGAAGACAGGCCACCCCAGGATAGAAGAGAGAAGTACGGCAAGGTTGTGTGTGCTTCAAACAATATAAGCATCTTCCCCCAGCCTACTGTCCTATATCATGCCTGGGTGACATACGGCATGATAGCGTGGGGGAACGATGGGTTATTTTCATACTCCGATTTTTGTGACACAGGCTGTTTCAAACTTTATAAATGATATGTATAGTATTTAACAGTGAAATTCCTGGTATGTGGCAGACCCTGTATTGTGCTTTGTATACTTGTCATGGAGTGGTCCTTTCGAAAATTCTATGAGGATAACCGATATGGTTTATACATTGTGTCAACTTGAGAAGTCTAGAAGTTTAACTGACTCAGCAGTTCTATATCTCAGGGTGTAGAGGACAAGCTGTTACCATTCTAAGATATTGTCCATTGTGTCAGTTTGAGAAGGTCAGAAGTTTAACTAAGTGATTCAGCAGGTGTGGGGGGGTCCTTAGTTTGTAACAGCCTCATCCTATGCAAACAGAGGGCAGGTAGATGGTGTGAGTGCTACACCCACCCCAGGGGAGCAGCCCACATGCAATAAAATGCAAAGGATGAGGGACTGGTTCCTGGGTCTGCTGAGGAGCTCCAGTCTTTGACTTCAGGTTGGGTGTTGTCTCCTGGCTTCTGGCATAGACTAATTTGGCTTCTGCCTGGAACCCTTCATCGTAGACTCTTCAGCTTTCCATCATAGATTCTTCAGTGTTCAATCATAGATCCATTTGGCTCATGATATGGACTTGCATAAGATGCTACCATGAGCTCCAGCCCTTGGATTGGACCCGTTAGCCTCCAGTGTGCAGAAACCCTCTGCACGCTCCCTCATCTGACTTGGTGGCTGACCATTGTAAACCAACCTTGTAATTTCTTATCCATTTGTATATCTTGTGTTATATCTGTTTCTCTAGTAAACACTGACTGATACAATAACCACAATACAATTCCCCCTTACTTGAATTCAGGTGAAGTCACATAGATGCATGGAACAAATACCTAATGCAACCCTTGCCTGCTCTGAGGAAGATAGGTAAGTCGATGTGGAAGTGCAAACAGAGGTCACTGTGCAATGAAAAGGAAATTCTGTCCATTGTTGTCTGGAATTCCCAGAGCAGGGATAGGGTGGCAACATAGCTGAGTGTGCAAGAATAAAAAAAAATTATTAAGGAGGTTGCTTGAAATGTAATAGCAAATGACCACAATGAAGAATAATTGACCAAAACTAATAATTAAAAAACAGCGCAAGTGTAGATAAAGATGTGAATCAATCTGGCTGAGTGAGTTAGGGATGTTCAAACTTGAAGGACTTCTTCAGAAAAGTTTGACCATTTCTTATTCAAGTCAACAAACAGATGGCATCAGGCAGATCAATCTGATCACTAGATGTTTACTAATGTGACATGGAAATCTGTGCACAAATAAACATCTATCTTCAGATATTTACACTGACCTGAATGACAATAACAGAAAAAACATAAACTAAAACCATACAATGTGCGTCAAGCACAAAGGTAGGGAAAAAACAGTTTGCATTATTCATGCAGTGGAATACTATTCTGCAATTAAAAGATTTCACTGTGATTCTTGGTGGGAGGGGAGGGGTGAGGAAAGGCAGAAAGAGGAAACAGACTGAAAATGATAAAGATGTGTTACACATGCACTGATTCCCCAAAATGATCATCACTATGCTGTTTTTCAAACAGACACTAGCAAAAACTTTAAATGATGGTTAGCCCATCAAGAAGAAATATTCCATGTTCTCTTAGAGGACAATGATAAGGGAAAATGGCAGAGAGGGGGACCTTATATTCTAGGAGGAGGCCTAAGGACATTCTCATGCTGGCAAAATTACTTGGATCCAAAAAGTTTGCTGGATGCAAAAGGTACTACATGAGCAAGAACATGTCAAAGAATAGCTCAGGTAAATCAGTTTAAGTGTCTGTAGTGAAGGTTACGTGATTGCATTAACCTAGTCACTAGAAACATGTGGGTATTACAGTGTGTGAGCTATGAATTAATGAGAAGCTCTAAAAAGAAACAAGAAACATCAGATAGTGAAAGACATTTGTGCACTGCCTCCATCCCCACAGACAGCTTTATTGCTTCTTCCCTAGGAAAGGAGGATGTGGAGCTGTAGATAATCTCACAGGGGAAATCTCCAGGGGTCTCTAAGTCTGTGCAGTTCCCTCCAGAGCTAGATGAGTTAGAGTCTGAAAGCCTGCTGTGACTCAGCCTCATGCTGTTTGAGGACAGCTCTGCTGGCCTTGCCGCCCCAATCATTATTCATACAGCTAATGATGATCACACTGGGGACACACAGGCCATCTTGTGACCTGAGGATTTGCCATGAGCCTGCAGCCCTGGTCTGGAACAGTCTCAGAGATAAGAATCACAACTTTGCAAAGATGTGTTTTTTAAGGAGAAGTGAAGTATTCCAAGGGATAGAAGTAATTTGTGGTAGATTCGGAACTTGATCCATATTAATGTGCTCTCCTCTATTTTTTTATACTGTCTTACAGAAGTTGGAAACTTTTGACCACTACCTGGGGGGAGAACTCCTGGAACAGAACTGAACAATATTCCACGTCTGGTAGTGTGATTTCAGACTTGCTGTTAGGAATTGACCCTTCTGTCTCTTTCACCAAATTGGTAAGCTTGTATTTCTATATTTGATAACTCTAGAGAAAAAAAGACAATTTCAACATTTTTCTAAAAATTCATGTGAGCCTATTGTGTGAATGTCTGAATTTCTGCAGAGGCAGGTCAGGAACTGTCATGAGACTTCATGTTCATTTCTCCAAAAATGCAAACTTATGATACTGATTGATCAACAGAGCTCCATTAATCACTATATACTTTTTCACTATATATTTAACTCTAGCTAGAGGTAAACAAACAAAAATAAATGTACAAAACCCCCAGAACAGTGAAATGATCCTTCTTTGAACCACAGAAATGCCCTAAATGGGTTAACATGTTCTAAACTGCATTCTGACCTTTTCTCCATGTCATTCAGATTATTACATCAACTTGTATTGACGGCGACATGGTAGAGGTGTGTATTATTCATTAAGTTGCTGACGACTTGCAATCTTAATTTTTGTGTGTATTCCATGTTAGCTATGCAGTTTTAGAGGATCAGATAACTACTCAAATTTCCTTGATGACAAAGCAAGAATAATAATGCCAATATTTCTAACTGTATTATATACCAATACATATACAAACACATTTATATATAAAGCTTTTCTTGCTGTTATTTGCTCAAGTCATCAGTGTGTTAAAAGTTGGCCTACAGTTATGAATGTGTTAAGCTCATGGCTGAATTTGCAAAAGGTTTATAAGAAACATACTAGGTAACTGTAGAAAGTTTGAGGTGAAAATCCTTCCAAAGGCATCAATTTAAATGAATTATGCAAGTGTAGTACCCCATTGTTATGGTCCTGGCTACTCAGGAGGCTGAGGCAGGAGGATGGCTCAAATCCACAAGTACCAGGACATCTGAGCATCATCTCACTAGGTCTGAGTTCACTTCACTAGATGATTTATCAAAATAAAGATGAGAGGAAATAAGGAAGGAAGAGAAGAAGGAGGGATGAAGGGAGACGAAGGAAAAAAGGGTGAAAGAGAGGGAGGGAGGAAATGCAATATTGTGACTCAGATGCTAAATTCATCTTCAACCCAATCAAAAATTGATGTTTTTTACCACCTGATATCAACATGTGTAAGAGTGCTGCTGATAATATTTATGTGACTGAACGGTTACAGTGTGATTGAGAATTGGCCGTTTCATTTAGGACACTCTACAGGTGAAAGCAGGATGTTTTTTGCTTTTTTGGCCTTTGGTATGTTTGGTTTTTTACCTCCAATTACATGAAAATGTATAGTGAAAAACATCTCAAACTAATAGGTCACTGTCTCAGTTCACTGTGAAATGTGAAGCATTGTGTTCGAATCAGAATAAACAAGGACAAATTGTCAAATGAGTTACATTCAATTTCATTTAAATTCACCATTAAACTTAGGAATGCCTTGAAAGGATTAAGTTTTGACAAGGGACCAGAGTAAAGATTTTCAAGTCACATTGCTATAAATCCTAAAAATGCTGTAAATATTTAAAAAATGCTCAATGTCATATGATCCAAAATCTATGCGTAGGCAAGGATCAATCAAACACAGAACATTACAGGCAAGAGGCCATGAATGCATATTTAGCATGTTTGCAGGAGTTTTTCATGGGCAACCAACATGGAAGTCCCAGGTTTTAATATGTACAGAAGTAAATTAATGTATTGATTGAGGCAAGCAAGTCATTTTCACTGTCTTAAAATTGGGTAGCATTCAATATAAATACATAAACATTTAAAACTTTGACAGATGACCCATTAAGAGTCTTCAGAAACAACATTATGTACCCTGTGTACATTTAAAGCACCACATTTGTTTTTCCACCCCATGCACTGCTCTGAAGAAATCTTCAAGTAAAAATAATTATTATAAGAACAGAATACACACAATGTTTTCCAGTTACAGCTAAATTCATGTTGCTTTTCCTTTCTGGCATTAATAAAGAGCATCTACAATACTGATTCTCAGACTCCACTGATGGAGAACAGGACAGAAGTGACAGAGTTCCTCTTGCTGGGACTGACCTCTGACCCCCACCTGCAGCTTCCCCTCTTCATCACCTTCCTCCTCATCTACACCATCACTGTGGCTGGGAACCTGGGGATGATCCTGCTCATCCTCCTGGACTCCCGTCTGCACACCCCCATGTACTTTTTCCTGGGAAACCTGTCCCTGGTGGATTTCTGTTCCTCTTCCACTGTCACTCCCACAGTCATGGCTGGGCTGCTTACAGGAGACCAGTTCATCTCCTACAATGCTTGTGCTGCTCAGATGTTCTTTTTTGTAGCTTTTGCTACTGTGGAAAGTAACCTCTTGGCCTCCATGGCCTATGACCGCTATGCTGCAGTGTGCAAGCCTTTACATTACACCACCACCATGACCACAAGTGTGTGCTGTTGTCTTATCCTAGGCTCCTATATCTGTGGCTTCCTGATTGCTGCCATCCATGTTGGGGACACATTCAGTCTCTCCTTGTGTAATGACAATGTGGTCCACCATTTTTTCTGTGATATTCCAGCAGTCATGGTTCTCTCCTGTTCTGATAGACGTTTCAGTGAGCTTGTTCTTGTTTATGTTGCAGGCTTTAATATCTTTTTCGTTCTCCTTGTTATCTTGATATCCTACATATTCATTTTTGGCACCATCATAAAGTTGCATTCAGGTGCAGGGCATCGAAAGGCTCTGTCCACCTGTGCCTCCCACTTCACTGCCGTCTCCATCTTCTATGGCACTGTCATCTTCATGTACCTGCAGCCCAGCTCCAGTCACTCCATGGACACGGACAAAATCGTGTCTGTGTTCTACACCATGGTCATCCCCATGCTGAATCCCATGGTCTACACCCTGAGGAACAAGGAGGTCAAGAGTGCGTTCACAAAATTTATTTTGAAGGCAATCTTGCAAAAGCAAGCAGAAACACCAAAATGTCATGCAGGACTTGGAGGCAGATTTATTTATGTCGATAAGCACTGATCAGGATCACTCTCAAAATATCAGGTTAGCCCTGATCTCTGGTGGTCTAGGGCTTATATTAGATAGGCAATCAGGAAGTACAAAGAAAAACAGCTTGTCATTTGCAGATTGGTTTGTACAATGTGCATCATAGTGACCAGCTATGCATCACAATAATCATCTGTTTTTAAGAAGCAGGAGTGACTAAACCAGAAATATTACTTGGGCAGCTAAGAAACTGAATTATACTGGCTGAAGGGACATTTTCTATTATATTTATACCCTCTTTTAGTTTCCCCAGTAAATCTTGGCTGCGCATATTGCATGTTATTCTGAGAGGCCCAACTAAAAGCATCAGGGTTGTCTGTGGGCCTCAGATGAAACGTAGGTAAGATCCCAAGATTGACTTATTACAGAGTTTTAGTCATTTTTAGGGAAAGATCTAATTTAGGCCTGTCTGTTGCAAAGCATTACTCTGATGAGATAGTGACAGCGATAATCAGATCTAGGAGAGTGTCCACTGTGACCTGGACACTCATCAAATCTTGGTTCAGTCTTTATTGATTGTTCTATTCTCTTATGGGAACCATCCATAGCGTTTAAGACAGAAACCACAGCTAGCAGGGGGCAGGGAAGCAAAGACTGAGGTAAGAAACCTGAAAAAAATGAAAAAGCAAGGGGAATAGGTATGAAGCAATCCTGTGAATTATGTCCTCAGGCTCCATGCATGGACTCATCAGCATCTGGAGTGACCAGAGCAAGTATTTGAGTATGTCACTCTCAGAATGAGCTTTCTGACCCAGGTGATTTGCTTAGGTGATCTAAGGCTAGATTTCTGACACAATAGAGGTAGTTAATACGCAGCTGGGTTATATATATGTGTGAGTTACAAGCTGTTTTTAACTTTTCTAGACTTTTAGGCATGTGTGCTGCATTTAGTTTTTATTTCTATAAATGCAGGGCCATTTCCAGTGATCAATGGCCATATTCAGGAATGATTTTTTTACAGCAGGACCTTAACACTTTGTTACCTTCTCAATTCAGGTACGACTCAGGCTAACCTGAGTGGGTGCATACAAGCATCAAAAGATATCTTCAGGTTAAGGCTGTTGACACAGACACTAAAGCCTGAGGTAGTAGCAGGGATATAGGTGCCAGAGCTGAGATTTGAGCTTGTAAAACAAATGGTGGGACAGGAATGGCTCTGACCTTCTGGAGATACCAGGGAAAACTTTTCTGGCTGGGACTCATGGTTCAGTCAATTGGATCCCTGGAGAGGGCTTAGGCCTCTGGATTGGACTGTTTTGTGTCATTGGTGGAAGTTTTCAAACAGCAGTTTGCTATGCAGGTCATCCCTGCAGGAGATTACTGGCCAAAATATCTAACCTGTTGGACTTCATTCCTAACAGAGCTACTTCCATCCTTAAACAAGTAAACAGTTGTACACATTATCTGTAGGAGGTCCTTTTTTTTTTAGAACAGTTCGTCCCAGTACAGCATAAAGGAACCTTAGTGACTGAATCTAAGTATTTGCACAGGTGGGCCACTGGGTGCTCCCAGAGGCTGACAGTTTGAGTAAACATTATTGTTTTTATGAACTCAAGGATGCGGATTTTATAAAAGTCAACAGTTCTAAGAAATTTATAGAGCTCCTTTCTCATAATCAGTTTCTGACAGATATTGTAGCAGAGCTTTTGTGCCTTTTTAGCAGGAAGCTTAGAAGTGTCATTAATCAGAAGTGCTTTTTAAGGAGGGAACAAGTTTCTGAACCTCTGGGAGGATGAGTCCAGGTCAGTTGTGAAGAGAGTCTGGCTGACAAAAGCCAACTAAAGATGGAAGACAAATCAGGAGGGAGGAGTGAATCTATAGGTGTTGGCAGTGACTTTAGCTGCCATCAAGCATGCCAAGATGGAATTCTCAGAAAGAATGGGATTCTTTTTCTTTCTATCCATCTTTCTTTCTTTCTTTCTTTCTTTCTTTCTTTCTTTCTTTCTTTTTCTTTGAGAGGCAGGGAACCGTTTGGTTTCATTTTTAACTCCATAAAAGCCATTTTTCCTTCAGTTAGGGGCTGTGGGTTTTAACTAATTAGTCCCCATTCTATTTCCCTATTATGTATGTTGTGTATCCTTGAATGATGGTGCAAGAGACAAACAGTGGGTGTAACTCAGAGAGACCATTCAGATGCCTGCCTGGCCATGTCTTTTATGGGGACTTAGGTGCAACCTAGCTAAGGAAGGTATGAGGTCTCCTTTGGGCTAGACATTGATTGCCATAGAACTATAGGTGATGGTCCAGTCAGCCACCATGACAAATGCTTCCCAGTCTTGGCATGCAAATGGAGCAGCCTACTGCTTATCCACTCCACTCACACATTTATTTATCAGGCATCTAGGTTAAACATTCCAACCCCACTTTCCTTGATGGTGATCTTACCTAACAAGAGGTAATCAAGCTCTTTAGCTTGAAATGGGCAGGACTAACAGACTGACTAACTGCGGTGCCCCAGGGGTCATATTGGAATCAGGCAGGTAGACAGACAGACAGATAGTGCCCTCCTCCCATTAGGGTTCAATGTGAGCAACTCAAGCAGAAAGCCAGGAATTCTTCTCCAGATCTCTAAGGTGTTTCTGGTCATCTATGGCTTATGTTGGATAAGTAAGCAGGAAGTACAGAGGCAGAATAGCTTGACAGTTGGGAAACTGGTTTGTGCAATGTGCATCATAGTGACCAGCTATGCATCACAGTGACCAGCCATTTCTAAGAGACAGAAACAATCGGAACTGCAACAGGAACTGTCACCTGGGCAACTAAGAAGTTGAAGTGTACTGGATGGAGGCAGAGGCATTTTTTAAACAATATAACCATTAAGATGTTGATTTTACTGGTGCAGAATAACAGTATCTAGTTTCAGCTATTCCCAACCTACATGAACTGATTTTTATTTTAAGGCCCACATGGAAGTCCAGTGCTTGGAGTGATACCCTTAATCTTTAAGCCTGCTTTTATATATAAAAAAAATTATATGGTAATATAACATTTGTACATGAATGCAGTATCTTGGAATTTAAGGTAATAAATCATGTGACATATATATATGTATATATAGTATAAATGCAAATCTTTGTAAAATAAAGGAACAGAAACAAGATAACCTTGTATTTTGTTTTTACATCATGTGCTATGTTTATCCTTTGTTTTGACTGACTGCTTTGTTTTGTCATATTTGGTTTTATTATCTTCCAAAAAAAGTAATAAGAACTATGGGAGTAATAAAATCCAAAATGTGTAGATTTTGTTGTAAAAAAGAGAGGAAAAAAAGTGCTCTAAAGGATACAACTGCAAGTGTGTTTAGGTGTGTTAAGATAGATGACCATATTACTGAGTTTTTGTTGGATCACAGAACACAACTGTATGCAGTCTGTATGCTTTAATTCTGTCACTTGAAAAACTATTTCTAAGATGACAATATGTCATCTATTAACTAGTGATTTCTTACCTTCTTTTTTGTAATTCTGTATTACTTGTACCCTTATACTGTTTTTTTTCCTTTAAATAAAAAAAATAAGGGCACAGAGAAGCCCAATAAAAGAACTACATTCAGAAGACAACTAAGGACACATACAGATAGTGGAAGAGAACTTGCCAGAATTATAGTTGAATATTTTTGATAGTCAATTGTATATAGCTTCCTGCCTGGGTTTAGGACAAATCCACATACCTGTTAAACATACTTGTGTATATTTTTATTAGAGTATTCATAAATATTTCAATATGTTAATCACTAGAATGAATAAAAAATTCTGCACTCCAGCATGTGTGCCATCATCCAGCCCACTGCAGATTTCCTGGAACCGAGTACAGATGTGGAGAAAGGGCACATCCTGGGTCTCTTCTTCTTTAACTGGAAATTGATAATTGTCCCTCTAGCATCTCAGAACTCCTGCCTCTTAAGCCTTAGCCAAGACTCACACCTGTCACACCTCACTCTCCCTAGTTTTAGTCCTTTGACTCAGACTGAGTACACCAGCAACCTTCCCAGGTCTGTGACTTGCAGGGAGTGTAGCATGGGATTCTCCATTTCGACAACTCCAGGAGCTCATGTCCATCATAAATCTCCTCGTGGGTGTCCCTAATTACCCTATTCATTCCGTCTCACTGGCAAACCTGTGCTAATACAGCTACTACTATTCACAATTTAATATTTGTGTGTTAGCATATAAATTTTCTCAAGTAATTCTTACTTCTTCATTGACCACCAAGAGTCCTAACTTGAACAAACATTATAATACAAAGTGAACGTGTTGGAGATATTTTTGTACTCATGTTGTAAGGCTGGCATCTCATATAAACTAATATTTCTAATTATTGAGTCCTTTTATACTCAAAATGTGCAATCTTTATTTGTCATTTTAGATATTTAATTTCCAAAAGGATAAAATATCCAGAGCACCAGAAAAAAACACAAAAATATTAAAGCTTTCCTTACTATCAATGTTCCTACTATCTAAAAATGACTGAAAACCCAATAACTACATATGTTTTCTTTTTGAAAGTCTTCAGATTGTCCACGCTGCCCGCTAGTTTTGAGCTATAGCATCTCCAGTCACTCCTCAATGTGCTGCCATCTCCTTCATCACTGTCTTGCTATGTCACTGCATCTTCAATCAAGCCCATGCTACAGGCCCTTAGTCCTTGCTCTTCTGCAAGTAGAATGTCTTGCTCCATTCAGGTCTTTATTTAAATGTTACCCTGTCATAATCCTTCTGTGATCACCTGTCTGAACCGGTCACTGTCTACTTACCACACAGACTCCTCATCCTACATCATTCCTCATCGCCCTTATCACACTCACCTATGATATGCCTCCTCCTTCCTTTCTTGTTTACATTCCCCACCTAGACTGTAAACCTCAGGAGAGCAGGGACTTTATGTTGTTCACAACATAATCACCAGCAACTAAACAGATGACCTCAGTCATGGCACGCTCTCAGTAAACACTTATTCAATGGAAGACTATGGTGGTTAAGTTTTGGGTTCAGCTTCCATATTACACTGAACCTCTGGACCTCAGAGAGTGACCCTGAGTCATATAGGACATAAGCATTCCTCAAAAACATGCAGCGCATTTCAGAAACCCTGCCCACGTGCCTCACTGAAGCATTTATTTCTCCATTATCACTTACTCCTCATGCTTTTCATTTGCATGCAGAATGGTTTCCTGGGAATCCCATAACTAAATGGATCATTGCAATTCTTATCATAAAATGGCAGCTAATACCAAATAAAACTGCTGAGTGATTCATGAAGACACATCAGTATAAACTAAAGTATTCATGTGTAGTTATATCTGAGAAATTGCTACAGAAATACACAGTTGACCAAAATCATCCTACATGCCTAAGTGCAATATACGTGTGAAAATATTTATCAGTAGTAAACACCAAGCACGTTCACTATTTCAATAGGAAGTACATTCTTCATGTTTCTAAATTTGATTGGAAAGGAGTTGCGTATTATACAAAACCTACCAACAGAAATGTGCTTGTGTTTCAGAGTAGGAAGAATTTATTGAGAGAAAGGGAGTTTCTTTCTGAAAGAGACAGAAAGCTCAGAAAGTGAGTTGCCCTGTGTTTACCATTCTAAAGATAAGTAACAAAAATCTGTTCACGTAAGAAATAAAAATCTTGGGAAAGTAAATGAAACCACGATGCCTCGTGAATAAACAACATCAATAAAGGATATAATATGATTACAATAATCCAGTATGAGTTCTGGAACTGTAACAAGATGAAATTAACAGAAAATGGAAAATAATGGCTCAAGTTACCTGATCCAGATATCTTTTATGCTTTTCAAAGCAGTTTTATATTCATCATTATGTTACAGCAGGTTATTAGACTATGAGTTAGTTGAAGAAATATTTTTCTTTTTTTTTTTCTTCTTTTTCTTTATTTGTCTGCTGAGCTTTTAAAAACCTTTGGATAATTGTCAAGTATTTTCTCCCAGTCTGTGGCATATCTCCTCATCTTCTTGACAGTACATTTCACAGAGTTCAAGTTTTTAATGATCCATATATAAGCCACTCTCCTTGTATGAAGGGAGAAATTACATATTTTCAGAAATTATTGTAACCACACATAATTGCATATGTTTGTCTCCTTGGAATACTCACAGGGAAAAACTTCATGATCACTAGTATCTCCCGAAATATTCTGAACATGTTCGTAATGATTAACTTTTTATTAATTTCAATTATAGTACTTATCTCCTTGAGTATTGATTGTAGAGATTTCTGTTTCTGTCCACATAATGAATAAGGGCTCACTTATAAGCTCTGCAAAGACAACACTTCACACGGTTGGAGCAGAGTTGTGATTTATGTGCTTAAATGAGTGAGTTAGATGAAAGCAACTCATACCTCGTGTGTGAGAACTAAGTAAGTGGTATTTTCAAATTTTGGATGCAGGCATGCATTTACTCAATGGTGATTTTAGTCCTAAAGCTTAGCATATATGAAAAGTCAACCAGTAGGAAAACTAATCATAAAGGACTACTTGTTTGGGGCATTGAGTATGTAGGGTTCTAAACATTTTTAAGTTTAATCTATACAGATATATGTACTTACTAATCTGGGCTTCATATAAAATGGGGCATTGCAGAATGGGAAACTGGGTTCAAAAAATGATAATCATGTTAAAGTGTATCTATTTAAATTGCTAGACAATAACACCTGCAGAGTCTAGGTAACTTACATATCCTTGTAATATACTCAGAGTAAATTTTCTGCTCAGAGTCTCCTACTAAATGGTGTTAATCTATAGTCTGACTTATGTGCCTTTCAAGTCCTCTCTTTTATCCTCTTTTTCTTCACTGTCTTTCTTAATCTCATTCTCATATCCTACATTAGCCATCATCCTCACGGAGCATTTTATCATGTTTTGTATTTCTTTATTAGTGTCATATGATAATTGCACACTTACAGTATTTAATAACTTCATACTTTTATCAGTAAGAATCCATTGACTGCTCTAATAGTCATGAAGGTCTTTTAGTAGTACTCCACTAGTGGTTGACATTAGTGAGTACTTGCTCTCAAAATGGCATCACACTAAGCATTCAACACAATCTAATTTATTACAGTCATCTGATTCAATAGAAAAAGTCTTATAAATCCAACTATATAAATGTGGAAATTGAATCAGAAAATTCAATTAATTTAGCCTGTGACTTCTAAGAAGATGGGACGAAGGTTAGGTGGGTTTCAATGACTTGGGAGTCAAATAGGAGGTTGATAAGGCACACCTCTGTCTGTGTCTGGGTTGTCATGTAGAAATGACCTTGAGGTCTGTGTCTTGTCCCCCAACCCTTACCTCTGTGGCTCTGCCATGCTTCTTGGTTGGAGTGAACTGAAACTTCATGGAATGGATTTTAATCAGTAAAAACAAAATAAACCTCCCCTCCTTTAAATTGTGAGTGTTAGGTTCCAGCAAGGAGAAAACTGGCTAACACGAATATTGGTACCAGAGAAGTGAGATCCACTATACCTATCCATGTGACTTAGAAGCCTTTGGAAATGTTTTGAGAGGAGTTTGGAACAGTATGGATATGTAGGCTAGAGAAGCCCTAGAATATCATAAGAAGAGTGTGATGGATGATCCTGCTAGGTTCTCAGAAAGCTAAAATGCTGGTTGCAATGTGGACAGTAAAAGCCAGGCACAGAAGTTTCCACTGAGAAGTACTGTAATAGCATTTTGACTAGAGGCTATATGTGTTACGCTGTGGCACAGAATTTGTCCACTTTGCAGTGTCCTCAAAATTTTCGAATGACTGAGAAGTTGTCTTAGTTACTTTTCTCTCTCTTTGTTGAGACAAAATACCTGACACTCAAAATTAGGAAAGGAAAGGTTTATTTCTTACAGTTGTTGAAGGTTTCAGTTCATACTCAGATGGCTGCAAAGCAGCGTGGCATGGCTGGGGGGCAGTCTTTCATAGCTGCTGCAAACAGCAAGACTCAAACCAGCAAATGAGAGAAGACACGCCTTCTTCCTGCTCTTACACTATATGCTGGTTCTGTCCCTGAGCAGGTGCAGCACTCACAACACCAATCCCAGTGCTAGATGACAAACCAATCACAAATGCTAGATTCAGCCACCTCCATAATTGCATGAGGCTTTGGGAGGACATCAGACACAAACCATAATATTCCATCCCTGGTACCCCAAAGACTCATGCACATCCTTTAAACAAAAGACATTTAGTCCATCTCCAAGAGTTGCCAAAGTCCAAGTCCCAAGTATCCTCCAAGATCTATGGCAAACTCAAAGCTCTAATCCCTGTCCAAATGAAACAAAGTTAAACACTTCCAACATACAAAGACACAAAATGAACATTACCATTCCAAAAGTTATAAACAGGGGGAAAAAGCATTATAACCAAAGCAAGTCCAAAATCCAGCAGAGCAAACATTAAATACTAGAGTTCCATGCTTGTCATCTGAAGCAATCTGGTTGCAAGCTCCAAAAGGCTTGTGTGATTTCATCCCCATGGCACTTCCAGGGATTTCAGCTCCCACTGCTTCTCTCTCTCTTAAGCCCCCTCTTCTCAATCTTTGTAGCTTTCCTTGGATAAACCACGTTCCTGGTTTTTCCAAACTTCTGGGATCTACACTGCACCTTCATCTTTTCCCTCACAGCTTTACATATTGCTCTCTCAGGATGCACTGCCTGGCCCCCTCAGGCCTTCTGAAATCAGAGTTTAAGCTGCCTTAACTTCAGAACTCATGCATTCTCCATTCAGTAAAACCAGTACCATGTGTATGCTGCCAAGGTCCATGCCAGCTAGAGCAGTAGCCAGACTTTCCTCACTTTAGGCTGTAGGAGTCAAGTGACTGGATCACTGAGCTCTCTGATCCTGATTGTGAGAAACAAGCTCTCTATGCCACCACTATTCTGAATTCTGGTGTAGCTGCTGCCATTGTGGAGTCTCCTGTGGCCTCTGTCACCACTCTGGAACACGGCACTCTGCAGCTTTCTACTCTGAGCAAAGTGTTTCACTTTTGCAATTTTGAGGCTGCAAAGGGTAGAGATCTGATGCTTCCTGGGATGTCCCCAGTCCATCTTTTTAGTTCTCTGTTCCTTCTCAGTAATCAAAGTCTCAGCTCTATTTTTACAGTCCACAGCTTTCTCATAATGTTTTAAATCATCCTGCTATACTCTTTGATCTTGATTTGCATCATAAATTTGGCTAAAATCCCCCAACCATAACCATGCCTTAACTTTCAATTGCCTTGAATTTTCTTTTGCCGGATTAATCAGTTCATTGCCCCTAATTTCAGTCTCAGGCAGTCTCTGGGCATGAGCAAAATGCCAACCAACTTTCTGTCACCCCATAACACACATCATGTGGAGTCCAACAACCAGTGCAATCCTTTTTCCCAGCAGAAACCTCCTGATCTCCATGATCTTTACCAGCAGGCTCTCTATCAACCTTCTGGTCTCCTGAGCTCTGACCAGAATCTGACAGAACAGCCTAAGCTATTCAAGTGCCACTCTTTCAAATGACATCTCCGCACCTTTGCAAGCTCTTCCCGCAAGTCATTTCCAAAGGCTCCTGAACCGCACGATCAGTTATAATCACAGCAATGATCCCACTCTTTGGTCCAAATTCTGTTTTTGTTACTTTTCTCTTGTTGTTGAGACAAAATATCTGATGCCCAAAATTAAGATTCATTTCCTACAGTCCTTAGAGGTTTCAGTCCCTACTCAGCTGGCTGCAAGGCTGGAAGACAGCCATTAATAGCTGGCTCAAACAGAAAGGTATGAAGCAGCCAAAGAGAGAAGCCATGCCTTCTTCCCACCCTTACACTGTATCCTGGCTCCACTCATTGGAGCATGTAGCACTCACATCACCAATCCCAGTGCCAGGCAACAAACCAATCATGGACGCCAGACTCACTCCCTTCCATGATTGCATGAGGCTTTAATGGAGGACATCTGAGTACACTATTGACTTGAACTTGGACTTTTGAAAAATGCTAAAACTATTGAGAACTTAGGAAAGGAATTCTTCATTTTTGATCATACACAAGATAATTTTATCATCTTAGGTAGAATTATAACCTCTGTTTATTCAGGGCTTAAGTGTGGTTTAAGATGTGTTTTGAGTATCAAGTTGTGAAGGGATACGATATGGCTATTACAATGGAGTATCAAATTAATTGACTTTGAGATCCACTTCAGGGATTGGAAGCAAAATCTGCCTTATCTGGGTGGCTCATAGAGAGATGGTTGTAGGTCTATATCTGTCCTTCACCCATCACTTTTTGGCACTGCCCACCTGCTCTACATACTTGCTAGCATGAACAAAAGTGCTCTGCTATGCCTTACCCTTTTACTATGATATCCTTACCTAGAGCCCAGCAAAAACGCTGAATCTTCTGAATCCAAAATGAACTAGACTTTTACTCCTCTAAATTGTGGGTGTTGGACTTGTAACTCAGTTATAAGAAAACCAATACAGTCTGTAACTCTATCAATAAAGAAATGTCAAATGCATAGATTTTTAAAAATTATTTTTGTTCTCCAGGTCAGGATATGTTAGTGTTACTCTGTTCACTTTCAAGATTATTTGGACCATTTGTGGTCCTTTGCATTTACATATAAATTTTAGTATAGTTTTTCCTTTTATGTAACAGGCTATTTGAATTTTGGCACAGGCTATCTGATATAGTGGAAAGCTTTCCCTGTGCAGTTACTCTCAAATTTATGCGGATTAAGACTTTTCCATCTCTAGCTAAACCTGCAAGATCATGAAGAGTTCACAAACTCTTTGACAGGAGAGAGACAATTGGAGGGTAATGCGTATGCTTCAACCCCACATAAAAATCACTCCCAGTAATTCTTCCTGAAGCCCATTGTCTATGACTAGTACATGTCTCAGTTGTATGTGTAGAGAAATGCACAGGTTTTGAACATCACCTCCTATGCTACATTAATTTTAAAAATAAAATATTAACATTTAATGTTACAGAACACCTGGAGTATACTAAAAATGTTCTGTGGTTTGTGCATATGCGCATATATATATATATATATATATATATATATACTCAAATGAAGCAAAATATCTATGCTCACACAAAAGCATCAACTTTATTCATTGTCAATCACCAAATGTAAGATCAAGAAAAGTTGCCCTGAACAAAGAGTGAGAAAAATAATGTACAAAACTCAATTTATATATAACACCATAATAAAACTGTTTTTGTGACAAATATGTGTAATAAAGTGACTGTGCCCCAACTAAGTTTATGCTAAATAAAAGATGCTACTATCAGAGACTGTATTTCTCATATTTAATGACATTTTTACAAAGGCAAACTTATAAAGCAAAGAGTGTCTCATATTTCTTAGGAAACTATGTACAGAAGAAGATGACACTGAAAAGCTCAAGAAATTGTACGTACAACAAAAATTTTTAGAACTCTAATTTATTGGGCATATTTCCATTTACATATTAATAAGTAAATTTATAAACCATAGGTATATATTCAAAATATCCAAATTAGTCCCCACAGGCAGTTTGTTTCTTCAGTAGGAAAGAGGAGCTACAGATGCCCTCCTGGGGGCTGTCCCCTGAGGGCTGTATGTCTTCATAATCTTCTCCTGGTTCTTATGTGTTAGCTTCTGATAGTCAGCATTACTTCAGGCCACTTAACTTTAGAGGGACCAGAAAAAAGTCTCAGCCCCTTGCATATCCCTTATTTATTTGAATGTAGACAGTTACTCATGCAAACAAGCTTTCTCCCTGTTTTATTATTTTTCTAGGATCCTGTGACATAGTTAAGGGTATAACTCAAAATAAAAATTATTTTGAGAGACACAAAAATAATAACCACTATTTATAAATATAATTCTGTGAATTATGCCCCAGAAGTAATTTTATCATTTTTGTGTTACAGTTAAGGAGGCGGTAAGTAACTCTTTCAAGGATCTACAAAAAAACGCATGGTAGATTCAGGGCTTGAATCCAGATTAATACTTCTTGTTTCATAGTTTCCTCCCTGCCTTAGATTCCCAGAGAATATTGACCCGAGAGAGACAGTGTTTCTGCTATAATTGGTGCTGTAATCTATGGCTGAATTTCTCCTTCACTGTTTAGCTTCACTGTTGAGACTGCTGTATGTTTTCAAGGAGCCAGGTAAGCTACTATAATCAAAATGCATGCTTGGGGAAACTGTCTCATGTAGAAGCCATGGAGTTATACTTAACTATGTTTTAACTTTTTCCCTTAGAAAGAGGTGAGTATGAGATATAAGTGACAAAAGCATCATTAGCAGGCAGTCAAATTTTAATTAGGAAACATCATTTTCCTTCTCTAAAAAAGGATTTGTCAAAAGCAACAATACAGGCAATGCTCTGACTGATGGTGGAAATTTCATCTTGTTCCTTGTATGGTAATGTAGCATTGGAGATAAAGGAAAAGCACAACTAAGGGCTGAAAGAGGCCTTATTCAAATTAAAGAAGTGTCAAAAAGAATTACCACACTTCTGTTCTCATTTTAATATTTTTCTCTTTGATCTTTTCCTTATCATTTCTAGCACACCCACCCACAATAATACAGTGTGACTAAATCGCAGCTTGCCAGTTATGTCCAAACTGAGCTTAAATCTTGAATCTTCCTCTACTCACATATGTAACTGTAAAGCATTATAGAACTCTGAAGTCTTTATTTGTCTTAACGGTAAAAATGAAAAGTAACAACACCTGGCTATAGATAAGATACACAAGTGAACACACACACACACACACACACATACACACTAACACGTACATGTTTCATCCTAGCAGTATTATTAAAATAGGACTATTTGCTAAAGTGGATCTTGAATGTTAAGTCTGCAAAACATGATACCCTCAAGGCTTTATCTCATAAATTGATTTTGCCAAAAGTAAGGAAAAAGATGCTGGGAATAGCTTTTAGCCTTGGATAGAAGCCTTCTGAAGACTTCACACTCAACTGAAAAGAAAACACTAGTTCTTCATGACATCAGTCTCAAGTGAAATATTAATTTTTTTATGTTTCATTTTAAATGGACAAATAATAATTGCACATATTTATTAGGTGCAATGTGATGTTTTAATGTATATTTCCAAAATTTAGTGTGCTGCAGAACACAGATCTTCAGGCTAAGGTTAAGTCACAAACTATGAATGTTCAGCCCTCAGCCTCAGTCATGCAAATACAGGAACATATGGCTAAAAGAAAGAAGTACCACAAGAAATGGACACTCTTTCAATGCAAGATAAAAATACTAATTTCAAGAAAGAAATTAAGCAAAAATAAAACAAATAAATAAAATCCCCCGGCTATATAGAAGAGAGTTTAAGTAAAGTTTAAATAAACAGAGAGTAACCAGGAAGCATAGAAAACATCCCCGTGATCATACATAATAGCAAAGCTACTGCAACAAAGATATTTCAAGATTTTAAAACTTACCCACAGCCCAAAACTAGCATAATGTCACCTACCTGACGTAAGTAAACTTAGAGGCCATCTTCGAATGGCCTCTAAATGAATTGAATAATTCTTTATATTCATGTGACTCACAGCTCAGAATTTAAAGATTGTTTTTCTGCATCTTCACATTTAGTTTTCCTAATAGCATCTTAGGTAGACATCATTTCATTATTCTTTACATATTATGTACATATCCATATATAAAACTTCAGACTTATCAGGTTGAATCATTTTAAAAACTTACCAAATATTAGTTTATAAATACATAAAATTTGAAAACTGGAGACAGAATTGATGTAGAATTTCCAGGTAAACAGTCTGGTTTCACATAATTAAGGAAGTCGGTTTTGTAATTAACCTCACATTCAGATAAGGAGAAACTTGAAATACACATCATCATTGTAAGTACTCCATGTGCTATGTAAACAGTGTAACAACTTTTCCACAGTATCTGTTAACACTCTTGTCTTTTATTTTATTTTGTTGCAAGGCATTTCTGACTGCAAATAGTGCCGATGGAGAACAGGACAGAGGTGACAGAGTTCCTGCTGCTGGGACTGACCTCTGACCCGCACCTGCAGCTTCCCCTCTTCATCACCTTCCTCCTCATCTACACCGTCACTGTGGCTGGGAACCTGGGGATGATCCTGCTCATCCTCCTGGACTCTCGTCTGCACAGCCCCATGTACTTTTTCCTGGGTAACCTGTCCCTGGTGGATTTCTGTTCCTCTTCCAATGTCACTCCCACAGTCATGGCTGGGCTTCTTTTAGGAGAGAAGATAATTTCCTACATTGCCTGTGCTGTTCAGATGTTCCTGTTTGCTACCTTCATTTGTGTGGAAAATTACCTCCTGGCTGCCATGGCCTATGACCGCTATGCTGCAGTGTGCAAGCCTTTACATTACACCACCACCATGACCACAAGTGTGTGCTCTTGTCTCATCCTAGGCTCCTATATCTGTGGCTTCCTGAATGCCTCCATCCACGTTGGAGACACATTCAGTCTCTCCTTGTGTAATGACAATGTGGTCCACCATTTTTTTCTGTGATATTCCGGCAGTCATGGTTCTCTCCTGTTCTGATAGACGTTTCAGTGAGCTTGTTCTTGTTTATGTTGTAGGCTTTAATATCTTTTTCGCTCTCCTTGTTATCTTGATATCCTATATATTCATTTTTGGCACCATCATAAAGTTGCATTCAGGCGCAGGGCATCGAAAGGCTCTGTCCACCTGTGCCTCCCACTTCACTGCCGTCTCCATCTTCTATGTCACTGTCATCTTCATGTACCTGCAGCCCAGCTCCAGTCACTCCATGGACACAGACAAAGTTGCATCCGTGTTCTACACCATGGTCATCCCCATGCTGAACCCCATGGTCTACAGCCTGAGGAACAAGGAGGTCAACAGTGCATTCACAAAATTTATTTTGAAAGCAAAGTAATCATTAGAATCTTGAATTTACCGGTGCAGGATGACAACACCTAGCCACGGAGCTCTCTGGCTTTCTCCTTCTTGTCAGTTTCATTTTAAGGCCCATTTTAAAGTTAGAAATCTCAAGTGCGACCATTTTTCTGCAATGGTGTTTTATAGAAAATAATGATGTGCTCAAATAGAATACCTTCTCATGAGTGATTAAAATGTTCTTGGGGTCAGATTGTGGTATCAGTCAAATAATATTTTATATTGAGCTCTGATTCCTGCAAATCTGTGCAAAACAAGGTAAAAGAGCCCAGTAATAAAACTGCATCCAGATGGCCCATAAAAGCATGTACATGTGAATGTGGTGTACTTGCCATAAGTAAATATAATGTGTATATTGTGAATGTTTAAACTGTTAATTCTCCAGGGTTTAGGTTTACCCATACAGCTGTTAACTTGTTTTGTGAATTAGAGTATTTTTGAAGATTTTACGCTGTTATCACCAGAATTAATAGAGAATTCTGTACTCCTCAGCATGGGTGGCCATAATCAACTCCATTTAGAGTTTCCATGAATACAGTATGAACTTGGAGAAAGGCACATCCTCTATCTCTCTCTTTTTTTAATCTGGAAACCCTGTCCTTTCTTACTCTTGGATATCAGAGCGACCGTCTCTCCAGCCTTTGGTGACCTACCTAGTTCTCAGGGGTTGACCCAGACTGAGCTACACCGCCAGCTTGTCTGGCTCTGCAACTCTTAGGAAGCACAGCATGTAGCTCCACAATTACAAGACCCACTATCCATAATTAATCTCCTCTTCTATGTCTCTATTCTGATGATTCTGTTTCACAGGAGAACTTGTCCTAATTAATTTATGCTTAATATTCAAAACTGAATATTTGAATATTAGAATATATTTTTCTCTAATAATTCATATTTACCACTATGACAAGTGGCCT